AATTTTGCCTATCTCGGCAGCATGCTATCCCACGACACTCAAATCAACGACGAGGTTGCTCGCCGGATCTCCAAAGCCAACCAAGCCTTCAACCGGCTTCAAGCCTCTGTATGGGATCGTCACGGTCTCCAACTGTCAAGGAAACTGAAGATATACTAGACTATTGTCCTAACAACACTCTTGTATGGAGCGGAGACTTGGACCGTCTACGCCAACCAAACTCAGAGGCTAAATCATTTCCATATTAGTTGTCTCTGTCGGATAATTAGGGTACGATGGCAGTATATGATCCCGGACACTGAACTCTTGGAAAGAACTAGAGTTCTCCGCATCCAGGCCGTGTGCAGGCAGATGCAACTGCGCTGGAGTGGTCACGTGGTACGAATGGACGATCAACAACTACTCAGGTGACCGTTTTACTAAGGTGTCACTGTAGGTGCTCGCCGCAAAGGAAGACAAAAGAGTCGCTACAAGGACACTCTGAAGAACTCTCTGAACCACCTACAAATCCATACGGCGACCTGGGAGGAACTTTCGTGGGACCGATTTACGTGGTGAAGAACGGTAAAAACGGGCGCAGCCATCTTCTAAGCCAGTCGGATTGCCACTGCCAAGGCAAAACAGATGGCTCGCAAGTCCCACAATCAACGGACGCACACTGCTACCGCTCAAGCACTTCAAACCTGTCCGCGCTGTCAACGCCCCCTCCGTGCGTGCATTGGCTTGGTCGACCGATTCCGGACGCGGTGTACCCCTTCTCCAACGGCATCCACTTCTACGACGTCAAACACTTCAACAGACCCTTCTCTGTCTAGAACTTCGACGGCAACAACTCGCATGCATATCATGCCACAGGTGACTCAAATCCAAAGTATTGCTTCATTGCCGGTGACTTCAATCTTTCTTAAGTGTAATGGTTCCCACTCTCTAGTCTTAAAAGTTCAATGACTTATTTGAGGCCGTAGATATCGGCATGTGGGATCAGATAGTCGATTTTCCCAACCGAGGGTCAAACATACTCGATCTTATTTTGTGGAGTTTGCCAGCCATTTTAATGTTCTTTTTAGCTCTACTTGGGAGTTCAGACTAAGCGATAGTCGTCTGCGCATTAGAACTCGTGGCTGACAAAAATTTTTCTAAAAATACTGTTTTTTTACAATTTCCGATCAGCGGATACGGGAGAATTATTGGCCCACCATAATTCTTGCGACTGGTTTGACTTCCTCCTAAATTTTGATGTGAATGTTCATACTGATACGCTGGACACATTTCTGGATCCACTGATTTCTAGTTTGGTTCCCGTAGGAAAATAATTCATGTTAAAGATGAAGTCTATATCCCTCTTTCTTTCTGCCGTAGGCTGCGTAGACTCTCACGTCGTTCCTATCTAGAAAACGACACTTCCGTTCTGCCCTTGATCCAACTTATCTTTGAGCAGGGTACGAAGCTCACCTAAGAAAAACAGTTGGCCTATAAGTCAAACTTGCCTAAAGCCAAACGTCAAATGTTGCAAAACTCTTTGGATGCACAGTATAGGCGCAGAGAAAAAAGCAGCATCTCACACTTGGAGAGGCTTTGAAACCCCATATCTGAAGCTACATCGATGAATGATAGCTCCAGTAGTTTCTTATCCATAACTTTATTGGAAAGTCGGTCGCTCCACTTCCGACTACCTGCCTTTGGACCGGTGCTGTCCTCGAAGCCATAACGTTTATCCTCTGGAACGCGACCGGCCGACGACTTTACGCCAATAAATACAATTCCCGCAGCCTCGAAAATTTTGGAGGCATTGATCAAAGACAAGATGATGCGTCATTTGACAGAGAACAACCTACTTAATGCAGCTCAGCACGGGTTCCTCGAAAAACGATCTTGTGACACTTACCAGCTCTCTTACGTTGATTATGTGTTGCAATCTAAAGACAGTGGTTTTGCCCTGTTTACGGTCTATTTTAATTTCAGTAAGGCTATCGTAGGGGGTTAAGTGAGTTAAACCGTGCAACTGCGATCTTCAGACCATGATAACGTAGTGCAGA